GAGTTTTATCAGTGGTGTCCCACTTTTGTCCCGCTTTACCAATGTTAAAATCTGGTCACCTTAAAAACAATCTCTCTAAATAAGCTGCTGGGCTTTCATCCTTGCCCTGAATTATACTACTTCCTTTGGACAAATTAATAGGATGGCACGCTGCCTCCCGGAAACCACTCGTTGGAGTCCGGCGGTAGATGAGGCATTTCTTACCTTCAGGGCAGTGCAAGAGGAAAGCAGATTCCAACTCCTGGGCATCAGTCTCTGGTTGCCCGTCTGCTCCCAAGACCTGTTCCTGGCTCTCCCTGCAAATGTGATTGCCCTCCTCGGCTGTAAAGAGAGGCTGGAGTAGTTTTTGACAATCGTCCCACGTTGGCTGGGGGATTTGACTCCACATTATCAATGGCACAGGGTGATGTAGATGAGTTGGTAAGGATGTTCGGGTTTTCCACCTATTGGACCTAAAATGAAAGTTTGAACCTGGTAACAGAGAGAGAGATTAAAAGTTCCTTCAGGGGGCCATCCCAGGTCAAAGAGTGGCCAATCATAATAGGGTACTGCTATTAACTTTTTCTCCACAAGAGAAGGCCCCTTTCCCCGCCCCCCCCCCCCTTTTTTTTTAAAGAGACCAGTGGACCAACATGAGATTGAAGCAGTGGACTGATGTTTTCCTTGGGTTGTTCCCAAACCTGTAGGAGGAAAAGCGATGGCCACAAGACAGACACTAAAACACAGAACAGTTAGTATACAGACAAATACGGCCCAGGCGCCTCAGAATCTCTTTAGCTGCTTTCCACGGAATCTTCCAGTTCATGTGTAGACTCCCAGCATTATTATGAATAGCTTCATGCACTTCTTCTGCCAAGTTGAAGCATACAAAAGGCTTAGTTATAGCATCTGCTGCAGCATAGCCTGTGGCCAAAGGTCTTGGGAGGCCTGAATGGGCTCGGATATGGGTGATAAACAGAGGGCAGTGATGCTGGCGCAATAAGCATTGCAGATATAATAATAAACAGAAAATAGGTTTATTCGGAGACCCTTTCAATACAGTGGGATTAAGTCGAGGTACAGCATTAACAGTATACAGAGAATCAGATACAATATTTAAAGCAAAAGGATTATTATTTAAAACGACTACCAGGGACAGGTGGTAAAGGCACAGAGGGAATAATCTCATTCAAAAGCTTATGCCCTTCATTTTTCAAATTTACATAATCTATTTCATATTCATGTAGAGAAGCACAAGCCTTTTCCAAAATTTTCCTTAGCTCTGACCCAAGTCTCATCATCAAGGGTGCCTTCATCTGAAAACCAGGCATTAAACTCTTGGGTTATTTCCAAACAATCAATAATCTTATTTCTAGAAACAGAAATTCCCAGGTTTTTTAACATATGGTAGATAAGTCCAGGAAAAGCCCCGAACTTCCCATGGGAATTCTCCATGGAGTCACTGCTCCACAACCGCTCACCTTAGGGAGGTGACACTCCTTAATACAATTCCAGATGGCTGATAGCCCCGTCAGGTCCCTGATCTAGGCACCATATTGTTACCTGCAGTGAGTGACCTGAAGAAAAAGAGTGGCCAGTGGACTGATGATCCAAAGACAAATTTTATTTCCAAAGTACAGCTTTATAAATGAGGCAAGGGTTCATAGCTTGCATAGTGTAACAGTAACCGTGATAAGATTGCTCTAAGCACAAACAATTCCTTGGGACTAATCTTATCAAACAAGGTTCCATTGCTACACAGAAGGTTCACTGGCCAGTTTTTTCAGAGGTAGGATCCCTAGACTGTCTGCATCTGGAAGCTCCAGGGAAACTGTGAAAACGGTCTACTCTGGTGATTTTAAAAATCGTTTATTGATATAAAAGTCATATTGCCATAGCTGTCATTTTAAAAAAGAGTTGTATATGTACATCATCACAATCAGTTCTAGTACACCCTCCTGCATTCATTATTTGCTCCCCAGTTCCCCTCATTCTCCCCACCTCGTCCCCATCAAACATTACATCAGTTATCTTCTCTGTGTGCCCACTCCTCCTGTGCTGTGCTTCATAAACTGAGAAACCTAAATAATATAAAGATATTAATGGTAAAAGATAAAGATATAATATAAAGATAAAAATATAAAGATAAAAATAAAGAACAAGAAAGAAAAGACCACCAGCAATATTAAAAAAGAAAAAAAGATGACTGGAAACTGATTGTGGTAGCGATTGTACAATTCTACTTCACGTGATTTAAATAGGAATGATATGTTTTATGTATTAAATCCCAACTATTAAAAGAAAATAAAAAGCTAAAGAAGAAATTCCTGTTGCGGAACAGGGAAGAAACAGTTAAGCCTAGAGAAAATTCAGTTTGGGTCAGCAGGGAGGTCAGCTGACCAAGTTATTCTGATGGTATTTTTATTTATCTGGGGGTTTGTTTATATGTGTTACTTTGGTTGGGGGGGTGTGTTTTACTTTTTATTGTTCATTGGGTGAAGACTTAGAAAGCACATCATCAGTTTTCTGTTCAACAGCTCATACACATTGTATTACAGTCCCCACAGTGTAATATCACTTAGCCCATCTCCTCCCAGTGATTTCTGTGTCCATTTCGCCCTTTGCAGTCTTTCTGAACTTTGTCCTTGGGTGAATGCTGCCCGCTTGATTTCAAATGGTTGCTTATTCTAGATGTGCAGACCTCACTAATATTATTGTTCCCCTTATTGAAAATTGAACCAGGGTTGATGGCAGGGGACAGGGCAGTAGGGAGGAGAGAGGAGTGCATTCAGTTACAGACCTGAAGGATGAATAGGGGCCATAGTCTCAAGGGTTCCACTACTCTTTATCTGAGCTGTAAGTCTAGTCTTTTTTGTGATTTTGAGTTTTGTTCTACATCTTTTTCACTCTCTGCCCAGGACTTTGGAATGTGATCTCTTTTGGTACATTTGATAGTGGCAGCAGGGCATCATGTAGACTTGTGGTCTCAGGGTCACAAGACTGATGTGTGCCTGGTCCATTAGTCCATTGGGCTTCCATGTGTCTTCCGTATTCATCACTCTTCTGTCCTCCGTGTCAGAGGAGAACGATGCTCCATCAGGATTCTCAACGGCTGTTTTTCTGAAGTCTGTCTCCAAGTCTTTCTCGCCAGGCACTTCTCTGATGGTATTTTTAATATCCGTGACCCAGCTTTCAGTATCACAACATCTGATCCACCACAATGTGACAGTTCGAGTGATATACAATAGATAGATAAAAATCAGTGCTCATTAATTAATTTACTTTTAAAAATTGTCTCGTATACTTACCTGGCAGGGGAGATACCATGATCACGAAGGTGGTTTTCCCAGGGCGAGGCTCACCCATTGCACTCCGGGTGTGCTGACCCCTGCGATTTTCCCAAATGTGGGAAACTCGACTGCATAATTTGTGGTAGTGGGGGACTGCGTTCGCGCTATCCCCTAAAAAAAATAAATAAATAAAAATTGTCTCGTGATTGGGGGCAAAGGAGCACATCTTCAGATTTGAGTCTCAAGTGGAAACTCCCCTAGGAAACTCCCTATTTGTTCCCAAGTTCTTCAACTAATTGAGAAAACACCCACAGCATGGAATGTAATCAGTCTACTTTGCTTGAGACTGTTTTAATTACATATAATTACTTTATATCAGCAACAACGCTATCGTTTGAGCAAAGAACTAGGCTGCATAGCCTAGCCAGTTTTTCATCCTGCCTTGTTTTTGCTTATATTGTAATTGAAATGTGATAGTCTAACACAGTACTAATGATTGTAAGATTCCCAAATCCTGGGTTTTACAACTAGATTACTAGGGTGCTTCAAAACATTTGGAAAAATTGTATTACCCTACATACTCGAGTATAAGCCAACTCTAATATCAACCAAGGCACCTAGTTTTACCACAAAAACTGCATTAAAAATGTGCTGGAAAACTCGGCTTATACACGAGAATATGCAGTATCTTTTAAGTCTCCAAAGTACCCAAACATGTTACAAGATAGATTATTTAAAAGAGAGGAGAATGGCTGAGATTTAAGAATTATAAGTAGAATTATGGCAAGTATAAGTGGACACATCGTCTTAAAGACAAATAAATGGAAGTACCAAATAGAATACATCTTCAGTTTTTCGAATATATTGTAGATAATAGAATAAAATATGAAGTTTAATTCTTATCACACAGGGTATTTTCTTGGCAATTTACATGTTCACTGTTATTGAATATATTTCTAAATTAAAATAAACTAGCATTAAAATTATTTTTATGCTAAAATTACTTTTATTTATTTGTTTTTAAAAGTAGTCATGCACCAAGGGCTCAAATAGAAAGCAAATGTTTTGAGAATGATGAGTGCAACAAATGTACAAAGTGCTCGACACCATGGATGGATGGATGGATGGATAGTGATAAGAGTTGTATGAGTCCCCAGTAAAATGATTAAAAAAAAAAAAGTAGTCATGCTCCTTAGTTCAGATCCCTTGAATATTAAATCAACTACCTTCTTGGAAAGGGATTCTCTGGTGTCACTGTGGGGTAAAAGGACTGGGCTACCTACTGAAAGATCAGCAGTTAAAAATTACCAACCCTTCTAAGGGAAAAAGATGAGGCTCTCTGAATCTATAAAGATTTACGGTCTCTGAAACTCTGTATGGGCTCACTGTGACTCTATATCAACTCAGTGGCAGTGGGTTTAGGCAGTTTTGGACCTTCTTATAAAATAGTTTAACTTTTGTGTGAAACGATAGTGATTCGTGGTTAGTCCAGTGACTCCTACAAAGGAGGTATAATCGACTGACATAAAATGCAAATAGGTTAAGATGTAGTCATACCCAAAGCACCCGTTTCCAAATATATTTATACAATGGAGATTTAAATAAACAAAAGACTTAAGATTCTTTTGTTATTTTTGTTTTGTTTTTGTATTTTTTTTGGGGGGGGGAGAATGAAATTACATAAACGCACAAAGAATTTTCATTAAGGTATTATTGATTTTCCTTTTCTAGCTTAAAGCAATAAATGTAGATCTTCAAAGTGATGCTGCCCTGCAAGTGGACATTTCTGATGCTCTTAGTGAAAGGGATAAAGTAAAATTCACCGTTCACACGAAGGTAATGGTGATTTTGTACTTTGGATAATTTTAGCCATGTATTGTGCTAATAAACATTGCCTTGAACTTTAGTTTTGAGCAATTTAAGAATTAATACTGAACTTAGACAAAATTAAAATGTTATTTGCTCTATATTTTCATTAGTATCTTTTACCATTCTCTTAAATTTCGATTTTATTTGTTTTAGTTAATCAAGTTATGCTTACAGATTATTATTATATTTAGATTTCAGTTCTCAGGCACATTTTCAGATTGAAACCTATTTTCCTTTGCCTAAATAGCAAAGCAATAGTTTGGTATTAATAAGATAATTTAAAAAAATGGTAGCAGCATAAGAATGTGTCATCTTATTTTAACAACGATTCCAAGATAATTTTGTCTGGTTGCGTCAGGGTCCTCGGATTAAAGCTGAAAAGCACACATTTCCTTTCATCTACAGACTAGTTTTTAAGTATAAAATGTTTATTAAATAGCTTTAGTGTAATTTTGATTTTAATTCAAGAAAATCTCTTTTCTTTGTAGAGTTCATTGCCAAATTTTAAACAAAATGAATTTTCTGTTGTTCGACAACATGAGGAATTTATCTGGCTTCATGATTCTTTTGTTGAAAATGAGGACTATGCAGGTTACATTGTAAGTATTGAAGTCCACTTTAATTCCACTTTCCAGGAGCTTTTAAGATACTTTATTATATATTGAAATCTTGTTTAGTATTTTTAGTGAACTGATGTAATTTTTAAATTTGCTAATTACAAAACATTTGTTAGCTACCTCCTTTTATCCAGTTTTCATGTTTTTGTTTTTGTTTGGGGATGTGGGAATTTTTGGGGGGTTGGGGGGATTTCCCCCCCCCTCATTTAAACTTGAATTGTTAGAAACTATACTGATTTTGAACCCTTAAGTCCTACCCTTATGTAGGCAGACATTTTAGAATTAGAAGGCTCCTTAGAAATTACCTGATCTAAACAAGCCCTAGATACTGTCATCCACAGAATAAATAGTCGTCCAGCTTCAGCTGTTGACCATACTGCATTTTTGCAATAAGGTATAATTTGATTTCCTAGAAATCATCCTACCCTTGCGTTAATCTCCATCCTTGTGGCTACTCTTTTTCAGGTGTTTCTTTCTTTCTACAACTCAGATTGTGGTAGACCAGTGGCAGTGCATTTTTCTCTTTCCATTTGTTTTTTCACTCTCCTGTCTAGTGGTGCTTGTTTACTACCTTCTTTCTCCCCAAAAGAAGACCATGACTTGTTTATCTTTGTATGTGCTCTAAGTCATGCCTGGCACATAACAGGTGCTCGGTAAATACAGTCGCCCCCTTAGGGTTGGTGTCATCAGTTTGGTAACTGATGATGTCATTCCTACCCTTCATGGACTGCCTTCCAGGCAAGACTGTGTAGAATCCTTGGTGAGGAAATGGTGTGGGAGCCACGTTTTACCTCCTTTAGCTTGGATAGGGAGGGGAAGAGTTCAACTCCATGCCATTCCAAGGGCGATTGCCACAAGGCAGAGATCAAACATGCCTCCAGTCTCCATCTTTCTCTGCCCTATTCTGACACCAGTTGTGTTAGACAGGGTTCTCTAGAGAGATAAAACCAAATTCTTGATAATATAATATATTTATTTATAAAGGTAATTAATATATAACAAAAAATGAAATGTTAAATCATAAAGATAATTAGATATATAACAAGAAATGAAATGTTAAATCATATACAGATAAATATACAATCTTAAATCATATACACATAAATATACAATCATATACAGATAAATACACAAGAAATAAACAGTTAAATTAGAAGCACTATAAACGGCTTAGTGCAACTCACGTCCGTGGGAGAAAGTTGAGAGACTAGCAGTCCTTCCAGTCTCTATCTGATGCCAGATCTTCCTGTATTTGTAGAGAGCTAGGTTATGTCAGCACAGCAGCCAATCACAAGGCAGGTCACTAATTGCCAGTTCCCAGCTCCAGAGAAGTCTTAAAGGGACCTCAACTTACAGCAACACAGTCCACAGGCTAGGCGTCCCACAGGCTCTGTAGCCTTTAAATTAAAGCACAGAACAAGCAAGGCAGCCGCACACTGGTCCGATGATCACAGAGCGCGAGACAAGAAAGGCAAGGCTCACCAAGCCATCCATCTCTCCGCCCCTCAGTCAATCCCACCTGAGTTTATCAGCCAGGCTGGCACAATAAACTGTCTCACCAGTCATCCCTCTCACAGTATCCTGCTTCTCTGCTTGGTTCAGTAATATTTTGCTATGGCCACACAGAATTCAGACAACATTTAAAATTACGGGACTTATTAGGGAAATAAATAGGTCAAGTCCGCATGAAAAAACTGATACATGCATGAAAAAGGATCCAGTCCTGTTATCTGCAGCACTTCTTCTTTTCCTGGCCAGCAGGCATGTTTCCTTCTAGTCCTCAGCCTCTCAGCTATGCAAGCCCTTGACCTTTTCCCTTCTTGGGTAGGCTATACAACGCTCCTTTAATGCTGATAAATACCCAAAGGCCACCCCATTGAGCAAGCTAGTCACTTGCTGAAGATACTCAGTTTTACTCAGTCCGTGGGCTGGGAAGCCTACAGTTCCATCTCCTGGTCTCAGTGCTGAAACCACTTCTAAGATAGCTCACTTTATACCCATTGGAATGACAAAACCGACCAGTCTGTGCAGCCAGAATGTGCCTCAGAAGCAAGAATGGCAAGGCTTTATCTCTGCCTTTCTCAGGCAGTATTACAAAGTTACTTCGGTATTGCTAATAAATGCTCAAAGGGCACTCCACTCCACCATAAGCCTCACCCTAAAAGGGCATCCAGTAGTTCTTGTTCTGCAAGTCTCCAAACCTAGCTTCCCTGGTTCAAAGCCTAGCGGTACCCCACTCTGCAAGCCATTTCCTGTGGGCCAGCCTTTCACCTCTCTGTCTGGTTCTACCGCTGCTCCTCTGGTGTCACAGCCTGTTCCCTGGCTGTAGCTTCAACATGTAAGGGTCTCTTGTTTCATTACGACACTCTCTTCTTTCTTGATAGTATGGAGATCCCCTGACTCCCCTTTTGAGATGGCTTACTTAAAACCCACTGAAGTAGCAAAACTGACCAGTCCTCACATTGATTCTCTTTACACCTTATTAGCTTGGCCCTGCGCAGTCACTTGGTGGTAGTTAGACTAACAACTGGAACAGCCACATCCAGTAAAATCAATGCAGCACAATATCATTATTAGTTAGAATATTACTCATCATTGGAGGGAAGCCTTTAAAGTTTTTCTTCTCCTTTTCCTCTAAATACTACTTCATTCTAAAAAACAACTCATAGGTTCACAAATACTGATTATCATAAAACTGTAGCTAACACATCAAAAAATTGATAAAACTGGCTAGTATAAAAACTCCAGCAGCAACAAACACTGTGTGTGCTTCTAGTCTGTGCAAGCAAAACTGCGTGATTTAAAGCATTGTAATTGCCTAATTAATGACAGCTCTGAATAGAGCACATTAGAAGGTTCAGAAAGTAAATCAGGATAGTTTTAGTCTTGTAAATATTTTGGTAACTGAAGTTGGGCTTACAGAAAAGATTTTTGGTGTTTTACCTGGCTATAGGACTTTTTTAAAACATAATTTTATTGGCATATACTTCACATATCATGCAATTTAATCATTGAATCATATTAAGATTTGTGCAGTTAATTTCAAAACATTTTCTTCTCGAGCTCATTGTTGTTAGCCCCCCATCCCCCATCCTCCTTTATTAAGTCCCTAGGCAATTATCAATCCAGTTACTGTTGATAGTATGCCCTACCTATCCTAGATTTTATATACAAAAATCTTATAAAACACAGACAGGAAGCAAACAGACAAAAAAACCAGCAACAATGACTAGACCAAACAAAAAGCAAAAAGTACTAAAAACTGAAACAGTAGAATGGGTCAACAAGGGAGATAAATGATACGGTATTACATTTTAATCTAAGTACATCTGCCATAATCGACTTTACAGTGCTCTTTGTCTGAGGGATTCCCATCCCTCTACTATGGTCAGGAGGGGATGCTGGAGGCTTAATCCATGTGGGACACCTGCATATGGGTTTTGAGCTCCCACTGTTATCCATAGCCGTTTGCAAATCAGGTGTTCACAGTTTAAGCTCTGATACCATTCCTTTCTCCAGATTTAGATTTTAGTATTTATAGTCCTTGGATCAACAGGCTAGCGTGCTTCTTCCTTGCTTAGATTATTGCTTGTTTTAAGACAGGCCTTTAAGACCTCTGCAAGGATATTTTTATTAAACCAGTCCCTCTTATCTCTTTATATCATTGCTCCCTTAATAATGATTATTTACAAGCCCTTCCTCTTGAGAGTTATTATATAACTCTCTTAGAACTTATATTTTTATTTAAGTGATTAGTTCCATACAGGAGTTAGTAAAGTTAGTCATTAATTTATGTCTTCTTTTTAAAGCATTCATTTTCTTGTTATACACTTCTATATTTCAAGACCCCTTTCAACACACCTTGCTGAATTGTAGTCTTGGTGTTTATTAATTTTCAAAAAGACAATAGCATAAAGCTACTACAAGTTAAATTTAAAAATACATCTGATACTATTTATACACTTTTTTTAAAAGTATCATGATCATGATTGGGGCCTATGGGAAAATTACAAGATAATTGTCTATATTGTAAACATATTTAATAGTAAACATATTTAATATTTAATACACATGTTTTGCAGATACATTCAGCCTATAACCAGTGACTGAATGCATTTGAGGACTCTAGGTTGCCACACAGATTTAAGTTTGGGAATTCCTGTCATTATACTCTAAAGTCACTACTTTAAAATGGTATGCTAGATTTCTTCATTAGTATAAAAGAGCTCAAAGATCTTAATAATTCTAAGATTCTTTAAAGTCTCTAATTGATTTTGGGTATTTCTGCTGCCCAGTTAATCAAGATGCTTTTAGTTCTCCCAGACATACCCTTTGATGATGGCAGCAGTAACGTTTTACAAGAAGGGAAGTAGTAATTGTTTGGTTCTGTTACAGATCCCACCAGCACCACCAAGACCTGATTTTGATGCTTCACGGGAAAAACTCCAGAAGCTTGGAGAAGGAGAAGGATCAATGACAAAGGAAGAATTCACAAAGATGAAACAGGAGCTAGAAGCGTATGTCATTTGTTATTGTTGCTGAGGTTAACAGAGCTTGCTTAATGTGTAATGTGTGTGTGTGTGCGTGTGTGTGCGTGCCTGTACTCTGATATCCTATCCTAGTAATCATTTCATCATAGTGGCCCTTCTGGGGAGGTACAGGTTTAAGCCACATAACCATGTTAATGATCATGATCAGGGCCTACGGGAAAATTATAAGATAATTGTCTGTATTATAAAAATCTTTAAAGAGATCTGAAATTTGAAAACAAGATTCAAAAGTTGGCCAAAAAGTCGTAGAAAGAGGAACATGACATTGAAGCAGAATGTAAAGTCTGTTTGCTTGTGTTTTATTTGCAAGCTCTGATTACCAGCATAGTTCTCTTTGTTCAGTATGCACACACTACTTAAAACTTCTGTTTCTTATACAAGTGTGCCTTGAGCAACTCTTTGCATGTATAGTTTTCTTAAAAAAAAAAGTGTGCATATGGCTGTGTGTGTGTGTATGTAAAATTTCCCCCTTTTCTCTTTGCCTCTGGCTTCCACCATATGGGAAAAAAGTAGAAAGAAACTCATTAGAGAATAGATCAAAATATTTTTTCATGACATGCTTATTAGTTTCATATATACTAGAGGTGTACTAAATCCTTTTTTAAAATGAGATAATTTTAATTTTAGAGTATTTGCTTAAAATACAGATTCACTGTGTATTGTTTTTCTGTATTTTGAAAGTTGTACAAGGAAATAACCTCCCTTCCATTAGCATCATCTCCATTGTCTTTTTCTGGTCACTTTTCCCCTTCACGCATTTCCTTTTCTCCGCTCCCACTTAGTCTCTGTTTTCAAGTTTATAATAACATTACTACTGACTCCTCAGAAAGCTAAGCTTTCTTTAAAAAGCAAAGTAGATCTTTGGGAAAGTCTTTAGATGACAGATATTCTGCCAGTTATGAGTACCAGCAGTAGTCTGGTAGCAGACAGATAAGTGCATATAGTTTTGAGAGTGAAACTGGAAATTAGCAGAGCACATTACTATTGAAGAGTCTGTGATTTTCCAGTGGCCCTGATCATGATTCTCTTGTGGTCTGGTTAGGGGTTGGATAACAGAGAACCCTGGGTTTATTCTACTGCTACCTCCATCCTCCGCACCCTTCTTTTTTGTCTTCACTGAATGACTACCCTCACAGAGATCAAACTTCTCCCAACATTGGTCCTGCTGGTTTTCTGGTATGTAAAACTTATCCTCCTTGCACATAGTTGAAGCAAGAATATTGGGCCTTTTCCTTGAGTGTGTGTTTGGTTGTTTTATAACTGACATATATTGTAGTCACTGATGCACTCATGTTACTAAAAGATTTTAAACAATTCTTCAATGTAATGGCAAAAATCAAACTCCCCATGGTATGTTTCCTTCTTGTGTGTTTGGGTCATTAAATGAAAATAATAATTAATTTTGAAAAGATTGCTGCTGTTGCTTTGTGTGTGCATGTGCATGTGCGCACGCTAAAGTATTTTTAAGTAGCAGTTATCCGTAAATTAAGTCATCGAGGTTGTCATCAAATAGTTTGTGATGTTCTTTATCTGGAGGTAAAAACAAACACCCCTATAAATACTTTTAGCATCAATTTGCATCGTAAGAAAGGTTGGTAAAATTTAAAATGTTAACATTTAAATGTAGTAAATACTATTAACTAGCATGATGTCTTCTCAGATCTGAATTTCTATATTTCATTAACAATTCAACTAAAATCTTTGTTTCTTTGCATTGTATCTTGGTGTTGCTAATTGTGCGTCTGGGATAATATTTGGGTATTTGCTGAACATTTTTTGCAGGTGATTTTCTAATTGATGCTGATCTTGTTTTTAACCTTCAATTTTGTGTATTATCTCTAGTGAGTATTTGGCAATATTTAAGAAGACGGTTGCAATGCATGAAGTGTTCTTATGTCGTGTGGCAGCACATCCTATTTTGAGAAAAGATTTAAATTTCCATGTCTTCTTGGAATATAATCAAGATGTGAGTATTAAATTAAACTCATTAAGACATAAACAGTATATATTTTGGAAGAGTTGTTAGAAAAGCCAGGGAGTGTTGGAAAGGTTTAAAGTCTTTCTTAGAATGCTCTATTATTTTTCTAGGCCATATAAATAGCATTTTTCAATGTTGATACAATAATTGAGTTGATTAATTAAATAAATGATGTTGGATCATGTTATTATGTGGGAAATGATTTTTCATCCTGAATTATAAACTTATCAAGAAATGTTGTTAAATGCTGTCAGCTCACTCACTTCATGTTGTTGAAAAGGGAATTTGTAATGAAGAAGTAATTGGTCTTATAAAATTCTATCATGCAATTTCCATCATCATTTTTATCACTAATGCCATATTTTCTATCTGCTGATCTTTCCTCTTCTTGTTTTCCAATTTTTGCATGGCATTATCAGTGCTTCTTGATTGCATGTCGATCAGTTTCAGGCTGAAGAAGTTGGTAGAGTTCTCCGTTTTTCACCACTAGCTGTGGTGGTTGGCTCTTAAATTTGAAAAGCAGTTGCATTGACTGGACTTCTTGTAGGTGTTTAGATATTATCCTATCGAAGCAGCATTGTACTTCAAGATAGATGTTGAAATGGTCTTTGACAATTAGTTAGACCCCATTCCTCACGGATTTGTCATTCCTGGCATAATAAACCCTGTGATTATTCAACTTAAAACGGCCGATGCTAGTCCATATCATCTCAGTAATACCTGCAATATTGATCTTCAGGAGTTTCGTTCCATTTTTATGACTTCTAATTTTTCTAGAACCATATTTCATATATTCTATTTACTAATAGATATTTGCAGCTCTTCTTACTTCCCATCAGCAAATGAAGGTTTAGAACCCTTTACTCCATCCGTATCATTACGGTCAACATTACTTTGGGGAGGCAGCTCTGCCCTCACTAGCTTGAGTGCCTACTAATTTGAGGTGTGCTCATCTTCCAGTGGACCCATATCTGACAGTGTTCCCCTGGTACTCATACGGGTTTCGCTGGCTAGTCCTTCAGAAATGGACAGCCTATTCATTCTTTGTTAGCTGTGATTAGTCTGGAAACGCCAATGAAACTCGTTCACCATGGATGGCTCCACTGGTATTTGACAAATTAGAAGTATAGTTTCCAGTAACACATAAGATACCACAGCACAACAAATTGACAAATGGCTAAGACCCGTTGACCCTTCAAGCCTGAAACAGAACGCATCCCTGGGGATTTTCTTTCAGCCGAACAATAGACAGCTTATGACATGGGCAGTGAGGAGTGTACTCCACAGAACAATCTCCCCTACGCGACCCAAAGGGAAGCGTTTGCCAAGAAACAGCTCAGAAGGCATGGAGGGCAGCAGAGAAGGACACGTGGAGCCAGGGGCCCCAGAGACAAGTGAAAACATGATTCTTTCATTGAGGGGATTGTAACTAATGTTGCAAAACAAAATATGTATACATTTTTGAATGAAAACTAATTTTCTCTTTAAATTTTCACTCAAATCACAGTTTAGGATGAAAATATCTTTCTACCTTCAGATGTTTTTGTTAGGATATTTCTTCAGTGAATTTACTCTGCTTGTTTTAATACTAAATGTTTATATAAATTGAACAGTTGTAAAATGTTCAAAAATTACTAAAAGTTACTTTACTCTAGCTAAATAAAATTTGGTCTGCAAATGAAAAGCCTGTGGATCACAAAAGTTTGATCCACAGCCAATCGTGGGTCCATGTGGGCAGGAGCAGGCAGTGCTTCCTTCAGTGTTTGTAAACTGATAATGAGTCAGGTGGATGACTGGATGACAGGCAACAGTTTAACAATGGTTTATCGAGTGAGTGAATTACCAGAAACCATTAATTAATTGTTTAATATTAAGACTGTAGTTGATCAAGATAAAGGATGTGTTGGTATGTTAGGACACCTAAAGATAAGAGCAATGAATTTTAAAAGTTTGAATGTATAAGCTTGAGTAGGATTTTTCCTGGGGAAGGTTCTACACTTGATCTTAGCCAAAAGGCCGAGATGTGCTGCTGGGGAAGGGAGATAGCATTTTAGGTACAGAGGACACTAACATTCAGAGCTTTAGAGAACTCTAGGAAATGGAGAGTTCTGTGGGGGTAGTGTGGTGGGTAGAAAGGTTGAATCATTGTTGAAAGCCTCGAATACTGTACTACTAAGGAGAGGGGCTTCTTTTCTCTGAGCATAATGAAACTTGTTAGGTTTTTTTAATAAGAAATAGATGCTTCAATTTTTATTTTGGAAACCTATTCCAGGCAGCAGAATGGCTTGGAATGGGGAAATGAGAGATACTATGTTGTAGTCTAGGCAAGAAGATGCTTAGGGCTTTTACTTGGATAGTAGGAATGGAAAAGGACAGATGGCAGATATTTCCTGGTAGAATTTGAGCTGTTGTACAACTTTAATGATACTGTTAAACATTTTGATCAAGGGAGACATCGGACAAAATAATAATAATTTGTAAATTATCAAGGGCTCATGGGGAGGGAGAAGCAGGGAGGAAGGGGGAAAATGAGACGATACCAAGGGCTCAAGCAGAAAGCAAATGTTTTGAGAATGATGATGGCAACAAATGTACAAATGTGCTTGACACAATGGATGGCTGTACAGATTGTGATAAGAGGTGTACGAGCCCCCAATGAAATGATTAAAAAAAAAAAAGAATTCTGATCTAAAGAGGGTAAATTCAGAACAGGACTTAAAATTCTTACGGAATCTTGATTTCATAAGAACCAAGAGAGGTGAATAAACCCAAGATTATTGCTCTCAGATAAATGTTAAAGGTCAAACAAAAAATATCCGGACATCTTCCTAAAATCAAGTAACAGTTTGTTTTAACTAGTAAAGAATGTCTACCTTGAACGTTATGCCTTTTTAAGGACTGTCTGTATGAGAGCAAACTGACGAGCATCTGGGAAGGTGAGGTAGAAAACTTAGGGGCAGTGAGCTATGTTAACGGAGAGGAACAACTTAGAGAAGTAGGTGAGAGTAATTGCACACCTTGAGTAGAATCAGTTGCTAAATTGTACATGTACACACTGTCGAATTGGTATACTGTTATCTATATTATCAACAACAAAGAAATAATTCTTTAAAATCACTGAATGCATGATGAAATTGCCACTTTATTAAAGTTTACTAATTTCTTTTTTTTCGGTTGCCATTTTGATGCCAAAAATATAGAGCTGACACTGCCTTTCACTTGTAACCTAAAAATACAATCTAACTCAGATTACCTCTTTTTCAGTTGAGCGTGAGAGGAAAAAACAAAAAAGAGAAACTTGAAGATTTCTTTAAAAATATGGTGAAATCAGCAGATGGAGTAATTGTTTCAGGAGCAAAGGTAGGAATTTATAGGGTTTGTTTGAGAATGTACTTATTTTAAGAAGGGGAGAGATTGGGATTCCAAGTATACCAAAGATTAGATTGGGGGGAAGAAGAACTTGGACCGTCGATAGCTTATATCTGGGAAACCAGGGCCCCTAGCCTTTAGAAGGCCATGTTCTCCAAGGCTTTACAGATTTAACCATATTTAATGCTTTTCCATAGTGCTGGCTTAGAAGAGGGGAAAAGAGAAGTCCTGTTAACTTTACTTTCAGCATACACCTAGCTTTGTTTCAAGAAGCCCGAGTGATACACGGATTCAGTGCTTGGCTGCAAACCAAAAGATGGCTGACTTGAGCCTACCAGTGGCTCTGTGGGAGAAAAGACTTGGAGATGGGCTCCCATTAAGACTGCAAACCAAGAAACCCTACAGGCAGTTCTAATCTTTGCAGTGGGATCTTTATCAGTCATAGGGACTTGATGGTGCCCTACAACAAGCCTTGTTTCAAAAAAGGATTGGAAGCAGTGGTACATCGTATAATCGCTCCTAGATATAACCAGTTTGGCCAGATGGCCTGCTGCAGTCAAAGAGAGAGGGCCCTTGTGACCAAGGTCAGGTAGCTTTCAGCAGTAGCTAGAGAAAAAGAAAAATAATTTCTTATTTTCCTTCTGTGTACCAGAATTTTATTTTTTGCCTGCTCAAAAATAACTGATTATTGCCACTGGCAAAAATGCATTTGTTGTAGAGGCAGAGCACAATTAGGAACATATTTCAGAGTATAACATAAACATGAACCATCTGGGGAATGTAAGCCTTCAACTACAGAATCATAGGAGACGTATTAGATGGCAGTGCATGTCTATTAAAGTCGTACTTGGTGAAATAAATGTAATCTCTGAAATTTAGAAGAAGCTTTGTTATTTTACTGTTGCTCTTTTATATTTATAGTGATAATATGTAATTTTACATATTTCACTAAAACAAATAGATTTCTAAAAATGTATATTTTCTTGTGACCCTATAGGATGTAGATGATTTCTTTGAGCATGAACGAACATTCCTTTTAGAATATCATAACCGTGTTAAGGATGCGTCTGCTAAATCTGATAGGATGACCAGATCGCACAAAAGTAAGATTTTTTTTAATGTGGCTTCAATTAAAAATTTTAATGGAATAATTATAAAGTTGATATTTTATTTACTATTTGCAAGAGCCTTGGTGTAGAGCAGTGGTCCCCAAAACATGGCCTAGGAAGACCACCCCAACTCCTTTGAAGGACTCTTTCAGGCTGAAACTATTTTCACAATACTACTATGACAATTTTTGCCCTTTTTCACCATGCTGACATTTACACCAATGGTGCAAAAGCAATGGTAGATAAAACTACTGGCCTTTAGTTATAGATCAAGAGAGTGGCTAGTAGTCATTATATTCTTTCCTGTTAGGCATTTGGGATTAGGCCAGGTTGTCTAGAGAAACAAATCCAGTGATACTTATATAAGTAAGAACGTATATCAAGAAGTAATTATATATCAAGAAGGCATCCCAGCCAGTCCAACTCAAGTCATTAAGTCCAATACTAGTCCAAAAGTCCCTCTTCCGACTCACGTAGCTGCAGACCCAGAAAGATGAAGCAGGAAGCAGATGGTGCAGTGTCCGTGGAGACTTGGCAGGACACCCACAGCTCTCAAGTCCAGGCAGCCCATATGTGGCCACTCATTGAGGCAGGCGGAATTCCAGCAGGCAGGAAGGCAGAGAGAGAGATTATCTCTGTTCATCTTGCCCTTATATAAAAGGCTTATGACATCAGGCTGTGACTTGATTGACAGGTTTGACTCCACTCCTTGCCCAGGACATAATCCCTGCTTGACATAATCCCTAACCACCACACACTTGTAGTTTAGGAAAAGTGAATTTCACTTGAGGATGTCCTGGAGGAAACAGTAAAAAATATTCATTGTAATTAGTATTCCACCCTTGTTGAAGAGTAAACCTCTTTTTCTGTTCGGAGTGGTGGGAGGTATGTATAAAGAACTTTTGTTGCACATGGAAGAATCATGCTTCTCTCCAGGAAAACATTTTAGTGATTGTTTGAGTTACACCTGAGCTAGCTGTTTTTTACATTGACCAGTGTATATGCCTGAAGGAATGACTGACAAATAAACGGTGATTACTCAGACTTAAATGTGTGGCAGACATCGTCTCAAAAATGAATTAAATGAACCTGTCATATTGAGGGAAACAACTGGCAGTATTTGTTGTCAGTGATCGAATTCAAACTTAAAAAAAAAAATTATTATTATTATTTTTTAAACACTTGTTCTTAATGAATGTTCCTTTAAAGGGACATTAGCTCTGTCCTGGACACATTCATAAGCACTACATTGGAAGAATGGGTGGGCGGAGGAGACATGGATCCTGCCCTTGATCTTTTGTGGCAACTGGCAAGTTTGATTTGAGAAAGGCGAGGCTTCCTATTCCTGTAAAGATTTACAGTCTGAAAAACCCACAGGGGCAGTTCCACTCTGTCCTATGGGGTCATTATGAGTTGGAATCGACTTGATGGCTGTGAAGAATTCAAGCTTTTAAGCATCATTAGTTTTGAAAAAATTCATCATCCTATCCATTCCCAAGAATTAAAAAATTTTCTGGTAAAATTGGTGATAATATTAATGAGTTTGATTTTTTTTAATTGTGTACTGAATGTTTTAACATTTGCATCATTTATTGAATCAATCTTTTCTAAATCACCTGTGTATGACGTTTTAAAAAATACGTCCGTGATTGATCTCTTCAAAGTACAAGATACCAATACATTTTAACAGCTTTATGGTAGCATAATTGATATTAATAAGCTGTACTTATAAATTTTTACAAATGTGTATCCAAAACCCATTATTATTGAGTCCATTACAACTCAGTCTGCCCCATAGGGTTTCCAAGACTGTAGTCTTTATGGTAGCAAACTGCCCCATATTTTTCCCAAGGAGTAACAGTTCTGTGGGCCTTTCAGAGCAGCTGAGTAGTTAACCACTGCACCAGCAGCACTCCCTCTCCAAATGTCTGCACCCCAGGAAGTATCACCATAGTCAAGTCATATACATATTCATCACCCTGAAAGGTTTCTCTGTGGCCCCTCTAGTGTTCCTCTCCTTCCCCTGTCCCTAAATAACCACTGATCTGCTTTCTGTCTCTATAAATTATATTTTCTAGAAACTTATATAAATGAACCATGCCGTATGCATTCTTTGTCTGGCATTTTTATGCAGTTAAATTATTTTGCATTTCATCCAGTGTTGTGTGTATCCAAAGTTCATTCCTGTTCATTGCTGAGTGGTGTTCCATTGTCTGGATAATCATTGTTTATGGAGGCTTTTAAAGTTCATGGGGGGGGGGAAGTTCATGGGAAAATCATATTCAGTTTTTCCATGAACTTTCTATAACTCTCATATAAATTGTATCTAGTTGAATATGAAGAGGTTACAAGACCAAAAAGTTTGAGAATCTTCGATATTGAGACAGATTAGTAGATACTAGAAATATTAAATAACCACTTAGGGTATAGAAATAGCTGTAGCTGTAATAGAAAGGAAGATTTAAAAAGTCTTTGACCAGGTAACTTTTGTTTTTTCTGTCATCTTTGGGGAGTGTTAAGAACTTTGAAAGTATTTTCTTACAACTTTGCAATTTGGACATCTCGTCTAATTAATAGCAGTATATGCCTTCCTGATTTACAACTAAGAACTATAAAGTAGTTGAATTTTGAGAAATTTAAATTCTTTTCTAGGTTCGTTAATGAATTGCTTAGAGTCTTGGACCTTGCATTGTTTTTCTTAGAAAATGGCATTTTGAGGATGAAATATCTCATGCATTTTATCCTCAGTTGAGAAAAACTTTGGAAATGTGATATGGAACATACAAGTATTGATTGTAATTATTAGGAATTGTTGCGCAGTGGAGTGCCCTTAAAATTTAGTTATAAACATTGGCATACCTATTTCCCAGCCATTGAAATAGATCCTATGCGGCGGTGGTGGGGCAAATGAGGAGCTGATACCAAGGGCTCAAGTAGAAAGCAAATGTTTTGAGAATGATGAGGTCAACAAATGTACAAATATGCTTGACATACAATGGATGGGTGTATGGATTATGATGAGTTGTATGAGCCCCCAATAAAATGATTTTTTTTAAATAGTTCTTATGGTAGAAGTATATTTTTGTATTATGGGAACATTTTTTTAAAGTTAGAGAACTTTCTGTTAAGAAAATTGAAAATAATATTATTGATTTTTATTCTATATATTTGGCCAAGTAGAATGCTGTTTTAAGAAAAGTGATAACAGACATGTTTTACAAAATAGAAATTGTAATGTAGAAGTTATTTTTTCATCATAAAGGAACTTAGTCTGAACTATAATAAAATGAACTTTTCAGCATTGCTCTTGAGTTCTGTTATATAAACTCAGAGCAATCTGCATATTTTCTATGACCAAAATGTGCTGTAACAGCTAAAGAAGATTATTACATAAAATCATATATTAGAATCCAGAAATGTCTTGCTCTAAAAAGTAATTTCAGATTCAGGTGTTTTTGGTTTTTTTTTTGAACCAAATTAAACTTTACTTCCTGGGCAGACTGGGTGAATCCATCACTCCTGATGGGCTCAGCGGCTGTACTTTCTCTTCAGGAAGGTTGACTGGGATGGGGAGTGCTGTGCTTGGCCGGGTCTGTGTTGTTTTGAGATCTGTCAGGCTCCCCAGCTGGGCTTCAGGCTGGTCTCCCCAGAGCAGATGCCTGGGATCACTGAGAAATCTCCGGCTGCGCCGGCTTGTTAGGCCACTCTACACTGTCCAGTGCAGTCCCTTGAGGAAACTGAGTCTCTGGGAGGCCTCGAGGTCCTTCACCAGCCCCGCCATCTTGGGAGCGGGTGCCCCCTGTCGGTGTGTTCACAGCCCCCCGGTTCAGTTTTAACATAAAATATTTGTATCTTAAACACAAAAAGAATTTTGGTTCCTGATTTGTTTTAATTTATTACAACCTTCAGGGGATTTTAAAGTTTTTGGTTGCCCCCCCTCCCCCATTATGGCGTTTATTAAGGAAGTTAATAGTTTGCAAATACTCAGTATACAATTATTTGCCTAGGACAGACTATTCTCAGTCATGTCCACAGGTCTCTCGCTGGTCTCTGGTTCTCAGCCACACGGCCCGTTTTCCTTTTCCCTGCTCGTGCAATGCTGCACAGATCGCTTAGGGCTGCGAAGGAAGATGCAAAGGGCAAATCATTCTCCCACAAACCTCAGCCTGAAGGTCACCAATTATTACCTGGAGGCGCCCCATTCCGCAAGCCTGCTTGAAGTCACTCAGTTTTACTTGCTCTTGGGTTGGAGTGGGTGGGTAGTCCACTGTTTTGTTTCATGCTCTGTGTTTTGTCTTTGGCTGTTTTTTGTTTTTGTTTTTTGTTTTAATTACATTTTTAGGCTTAGAGGATAGTGAAAAGGCTCACATAAAAAAGTTAAGTTTGTGCTCTAAATTTCTGTATATATCAGAATGGATCTGCTTTGATTAAAAATAAATAAGGAGTCATCAAATGTGCAACTTTAGTGTAATATAAGAATTACTATCTTGTTAGGGAGTAAATTCATTAAAGCATTGGGAAAAAATTACTAATATAAAGTGGTAATTTGCATACAAAGTAAATGGATCTTTAATCTCAATCGATAATAGCAAACATATATAGCATTGTATATTTATGTGCTAGCACTTAATAACAAAGCTTATTTAATTCTCTGAATAATTATATGAGGTGGAACCATTACTCTATTTCCAGAGGAAGAAAACTAAGGCACACCAAAGTTAACTAATATACCTCACATAGTCTTATAGCTGGTTCAGTTAGGAAGCCAGGATTGGACCTGAGCCACTCTTTTTCCCACTGTATGCTCTGATCCATTGTAGTAGTCTTTTTTTGTAAAACTACCAGAAGCATTCATTATAACCTCCTCTCAACAACTATGTTGTCTTGTGATTTAACTTGACGCTAAATGTGCTGAACATGAGTGCTTTATTTCCTGGAATGTACAGGTAATGGTGCCACTATTTAGCTAAAGTTTCCCAAGCTCCATAATTTCTCCTGCTACTTCAGGTCTAGTGTTTCTAAATGCTATTATATGAGAGGCCTCAAATGTTGCACGGAAAAATTTCATGTGTCTTTTAGCTCTATTTTTCCATGAGTTTGTTGAAGCGTCCTTGTCACCTTCTCTCTGTTCCAACTGTATTGATTCTGACCTTCAGTTTTTATGGTCAGATTAGTCACCACACCTGTGTCTCTTCCAGTCTTTCCTCCAGGCAGCATTGAGGTGTTTCGGCTTGTTTTTTGTTTTGTTTGTTTTTAATCTAAAATGTTTCATGTTGATTATAATGATACTATGACTGGAATACATTTAATAATGTCCATTCTCACAAGTTCTACTCCAAATTATCCTGTCTTATAAGACCCTTCTTTCCCAAGATGGTTCCGACTTATTTTTCCATCTCTGACGTCATCTACTACTTTGTGTACCCACAGTCCCATAAGGCTCTCAGAACAGACTGAACTACTTTGTCCAGGTTGCTTTCCCTCTGCTTCTGGTAAAGAATTTGCTAGGCCTACAAGCACAGCTCACTCTGTAGCTTCTATAAATCCTTTCCTGACTTACTCAGATAGATAAATCTCTTCTCCTTGTGCCCGACACAGCATTTACACTTATAAGATATTTACCATATTGAATTTTAGTTAATTGTGTTATTCTCCTTCACTAGACCCTAGTTTTTCATATTGCACATTGTGTTGCAGGCAGGTGCTCATTAAGTGTTTTTTATTCCATGATTAAATATATTAAATCTCTAAAACTTTGTCCATAGGTGCTGCAGATGATTACAATAGAATTGGTTCTTCGTTATATGCTTTAGGAACTCAGGATTCTTCTGATATATGCAAGTAAGAAACTTCATTTAAAATATTAAAGAAAATTACAATTCTGCTGCCAATCTGGGCTGAAGAACACCTTTGAACCCAGTCAGACATTTTGCTGTATTGGTGTCAAAAGCACACTGATGATGAGCAGCTTGGTCATAAACTTGTGCTGCTGTCATTTCAGGTGGGGAAGTCCTTTTCATAGGGCATGCCTTTCTCCAAGCCACATCCTTGGACTTTGATCTGGTATATCTTTTCAGTAGAAATGTAATATTCGTGTTTCTCAACAAATCTAGGGTATCATGGCTTATACCAACATACTACCTTCCAAAGAGTCTGTTCTTTGGACTTTGATAAGCCCAAATCATCTGCCCTTGACTAGATTCCCAGTCATAACAATCATATATTGGGTTTCTAAGGCTGTAAAACTCTACGGGATCAGATAGTCTAGTCATCTCTCATGGGTTTAAACTGCTGGCCTTGAGCTTAGTGGTCCAGTGCTTACCCAACAGTGTCTCCAGGGCTCCTTTCAGTCTTTGATAAGAAGTTAAATCTCATCCTGGTTAGGTGTTCTCTCATAACCTGTCAAGTTCTTTTCAATAAAGCCAAATTCATGAACTTGTATTTTTACTTTCATTGTATTTGCCTAAACCCAATTATAATGTCTTCTATAATAACATATTTTACAGAAATCTTTTAATAGTTTAGCACTGGGATTATAAAATTTGTGTCAGCATTTGCCATATAGGCTAGTTACAATTTAAGTGGATTTTAAGATAAAAATTGGTTATTCTCTTTATTTTCCAAAATAATTTGTTATTTTCCAAAGCAAATCAGCTATCTTTGCAAATGTTTTAAACATAAATATCAGTAAGTTTCAACAACTGCTCCAGCTTCAGTGATTTTTAAATCAACCTTTCTCTCTGGATGTGATTGTTCTGTGCTTCTGTAATTATTTTGAAGGTACAGGCTTTATTTAATATTTTAAAGTTTAATAAAGGACTTAAAATCCCATCCAAAACAAAATGGACAGGTTTTTCTGCAGTGACAGATTTCAAGTAGTCTATTACACAATATCAGAAGAGATTCAAAAACTTATTCTTAAACAGAATAGTTAACTTAAAAGAAATAATAAAAGACATAGTTCAAAGATTAACTTGAAAAGACAATTGGTAAAGCATTAAAATCATATGTGCAAAGACCTGGAGTTAGAAAACCAAAAGGAGAGAACATTTTGGCATATCTTAAACTGAAAGAACCGATAGGGAAAAAAAAATCAAGCCTCAAGTTAAAATATTGAAGGATTCTATGAGCAAAATATTGAACTATGTAGAAAGCATCCAGAACAAAGGTGGAAGAAAATAACTGCCCACAATCTCACCATCGTGGTAACTATCATCTGGAATTTTGGTACTTTCTCCCTCTCCTCCCCACCCCCACCCCCACTTATATGGTCATTGACTTTTTTTTTCCATTTGTACCAAAAATATATACCATTAAGCATTTGCCATTTCAACATTTTACATGTACAATGACATTATTTGCATCCATCATACACACTTATCATGACATCACTATGCTTGTCCAATTTTTTCCCAATACTCTTAATAGAAGCTCAGGAGCCTTGGTGGCATATTGGTTACAAGTTGAGCTGCTGACTGCAAGGTCAGCAGTTTGAAACCACCAGCCACTCCAAGGGAGAAAGACAAGATGGGGCTTTCTATTTCCATAAAGAGTTACAGTCTTGGAAACGTACAGAGACAGTCATATGCTGTCCTCTAGGGTCACTGAGTCGCCATGGACTCAGTGACAGTGAATTTGGGTTTCTTTGTTTGTTTGACAGAAGCCTCCTAAGCAGTGAGTCTCCCCCTCTCTCTGTTGCCGAGTCTATTCAGACCCCCCGTGGAAAGTGTGAGCAATTATTTTCTTTTTCTCTATTTTTATTTTTTGTTTTATGGCTATGTTTATACCATAAAAATAAAAAGATGAACTATACAATCCTGTACCAAATAAATTGATATGCAACCGTTTATTGACAGCATTGAAGGAAGAAGTCCAAGCTGCACTGAGTTCATTAGAGAGAAAGAAGGCTCCCGGAATGGACGGGATACAAATTAAAACATTTCAACAGACAGATGCAGTGTGGGAGGCACTCACTGGTCTGTGCCAACAAATTCAGAAGACAGCTAACTGGCCAGTAGAGTAGAGGAGATCTGTATTTGTGCCCATTCCAAGGAAAAGTGACCCAACAGAGTGTGGATATTATCAAATAATAGCACATGCAAGTAAATTATGCGGAAGTTAATCTTTAAAATGTTTGCAGCAGTACATCAACAGGAACTTCCAGAAATGCAAGTTAGCTTCTAGAGAGGATGTGGAACAAGGGTTATCATTGCTGATTCATGTGGATTTGGGCTGCAAGTAGAAAATACCAGAAAGATGTTTACCTGAGTTTCATTGACTATGCAAAGGCATTCAACTGTGTGAGTCATAACAAATTATGAATAACATTGCAAAGAGTGAGAATTCCCTATCATTTAACTGTACTTATGTGGAATCTGTACATAGACCGAGAGGCAGTCGTTTGAACAGAGCTAGGGGCTGTTCAAGGTCAGGAGAGATGTGTGTCAGGGTCTTATCCTTTGAAGGCTTATTAACAACCTGCGATTTGCAGGAGACACAACCTTGCGTGCTGAAAGTGCAAAGACCTTGACACACTTGATAATGAAAATCAAAGATTACAGCCTTCAATATTGATTATATCTCAACATAAAACAAAACTCTTCACAATTAGACCAGAAAACACCATCATGATAGATGGACCAAAGATTGAAGTTGTCAAAGGTTTCATTGTACTTGGGTGCATAGTCAACACCCCATGGAAGCAGAAGTCAGGAACTCAAGTGACTTGTTGAATTGGGCAAGTTTGCTGCTAAAGATCTCTTTGTAGTGTTGTAAAAGAGCAAAGACAGTACTTTGAAGACCAAAGTACACCTGACTGAAGCCGCGGCATTTCAGCCACCTCATCATACTCCTGTGAAAGTTGGAAGACTGAAGAATTGATGCATTTGAATTGCGGTGTTGGCAAATTATATTAAGTATATCATGGGCTTTCGGAACAACGAACAAATCTGTGTTAGAAGAAGTACAGCCACATTGGTCCGTAGAAGTGAAGATGGGTAGACTTTATCTTACATGCTTTGGATATGTTATCAGGAGAAACCAGCTCCAGGAGGAGAGCTCGTGCTTTGTAAAGTAAGGGATCAATGTCAAAGAGGAAGACCTTCAGTAAGCTGGATGGACAAAGTGGCTGCAGCAATAGGCTCGAACACAGGAACAGTTAGGAGGATGGCACAGGACCAGTGCCTGCTTTAGTTGTACATGAGGGTTGCTATGAGTTGAACCAACTTTATAGCACCTAATAATATCAGCAACAGTTATATGGGTGGAAATTCGGAGAGGTTTTATGAAATAGAAGTTTTCAGGTAATAAAACTGGTGGATATTAACAATGAAATGATGTTCATTATTAATGTGATTTGGTAACATTTTCTGAATGTTTTAAATGAAAAGTTATCTCAAAGGTAGTTTCTAATGAAACTTGTTTTTCCCTTTCAGATTTTTTCTCAAAGTTTCAGAACTTTTTGATAAAACAAGAGTAAGTACCATTAGTTAACCTTCGGTATCTCTGAATGACGTAATATCTAACTGTGTGATTATGTCTCACTTTTTTTGAGGAAGGTGGTATCTTAGTTATCTGGTACTACTATTGCAGAAATACCGTAAATGGATGACTTTACCAAACAGAAATGTATTCTCTTACCATTTAATAAGCTAGAAGTCCAAATATGGAGTACCAGTCTAGGCCATCGCCTTCTCACCTTTGGGGGACAGGCCTTGTCTTCAATCAAATCTGAGTCCAGTGCCCATTGGAGATCTCTTTGTGTCATAGCATCAATCTTCCGCTGGGTCTAGTAGAGGTTCTCAAAGCAAATACCATGGTTCCAAGGACTTGCTCCACAACCAGCTCTCCTTTCCTGATGGTAATCTGGTTCCTCCTCCCCTGTTGCTTTCCTCTCTCCTTATCTCTTGTATGTGATCGTATCATCAGTCACACAGGGATTAGGGTAATGTGCAATGCCTTTCCTCAAGTCGCAGCCTTGGGAAATTCTCCTTAATTATGGCCTCTTGGTATTTGTGTAAAAGTTTATATTCCTGATTATCAAGTTTTTGGAGACCAGATTTACTTTTATGAAAATTGGTCTTTTTTCTAGGGTTTTGGAAATTGGTAGAAAGTCATAGATTTGCTACAACTATACCAGGACTGATCCTTTTGATTCCCCCAGGACATGCCTTTTTAAAGTAATCATATGAGTCAAGCATACACCCACAAAAAGCTTATTATACTCCTAGTGGTCAGTATTTAATTTTAATATAGTCTTGATTTTCAGGGATCAGCCCCCTATACAGTAGTATTTAACATTTTCATCAGTTGATAGAATAATGAAGAAGTGTAATAGATGTTTAATGGTACATAGTTAAAAGTGGTGCTGTCTAGTCCAGTTTAGACATTTAAATTGGCATCATGACGTTGCCAATTGAGTGAGGTGCAGGGTAGTAAAAGGAGGAAGTCCTTAAGAACATAAATGTCCTAGTACAGACCTTATAGTCCATCGTTCTGCCTGTGATGCCAGTGAGCATTTTCTGGAGAGAGAAAAATTGTTTTCGTATGTGCCTTTCCCTGCTCATTTCCCTCCTCTCCAGAGGGGGCCACTGTCTGGAATTTAGTGTTTATCTAAGTATTTATTTTAAACAATGTTTTATTGTAAATTAGGTGAAGGCTTACATTTCAGATCAACTTTGTATTCAACGGTCCAAACCACTAAGTCCTCCGGTAGTCCACCTCCCCATCCCATCTCACCGTGGATCACTTCTACCTGTCAGCATCCATCCAGCCCTTCCCCCATCCTTCTCTTCTGCCCCCCACGCCTCCCTTGGCAACCTCCAAAGTCTATTCTCTATTGTATCTTGCCTTTTCTTGCCTTCCCCACCCCATTTTTATCAATGGTTTCATATAAATAATTGTCCTTTTGTGATTAGCTAATTTCACTCAACATAATGTTCTCCAGGTCTGTCCATGCCAAGAGGTGCTTTGTTGTTTCCTCATGTTTTTTTGTTGTTGTTGTTTGCTTTGTTTTTGTTTTCTAGTAATTCCATTGTGTGTTTGTATCAGAGTCTCTTTATCCATTCTTCTACTGATAGACATAGGCTATTTCCAGCTTGTTATTTGTAAACAGTGCAGTGATGAATATGGGTGTGTATGTTTGTTCTTGTTATGACTCTTGCTTCTTTAAGAAAATCCCTTTTTAGACTATGACTAAATATATATGTAGTCCCAGATGAAAGTTGTATTATTTTGTCACTTTTTATATTTTATATGAAATTTAGCATAATCTTTAAAAAAATAAGTTCTGGTTCCTCTGAGAAGCTGATATCAAAGTGGGTTAGGTACACCCGAGCTCAGAGGAAGGCAAGGGAGTAGGCGGGGAGAGCCTTTCAACCTTGATGCTGGTTTGATAACTGGGAAGGATGGGGAGCCGGGAGGAATGGTAGGAGAAGTTTAGACTAGTGTTTCCCAAAGTGGATGATGACACCCAGGGTTGGGGGTGGCATAGGTGCTATAACAATCCAGGGGGGCTGCAAAAGCATATAACCTACACTTATCCTGGACTATGGGTAATCTAGTACAAAAGTGTTTAATTGCCACTGGCACTGAATTTTGTTTTGTTTTGTTTCCTCAGAAGGAGGAACCTGTAGTTTTAGACTGTAGTACAGTTATAAGAAATTTTCCACCAGGTCATTGGGGGGTTCCCTAGCCAGACTGGCTCATTAAGTAAGAGTAGACTGGCACATAGTTCTATCTTGAGCTGTCATTGGCTGAGTGCAGCCTGAGGCAAGGAATAAGGAGGTAGGGGCAAGGGAAACTTACACAGACGCAGTGTGAATCCCGAGGAATTGTGTTTGGGATGTCGACCAGCCATGCTCCTTACAGCAGTTTATCTTGACAGAGAACTGATAACACATTTCTATGACTACCATCATCCTTATTGCCTTTACCGTTTATCTGGATATCATTCCTACGTAACAAACCACCTTAACATCAATAGCACAAAATAATAATATTTCATTATGCTAATGAATTCTTTGGGATCAGAGCACAGCAGAAATTTCTTGCCTTGGGTCTCAGCTGGGAAGATCTTAAGACTGAGGCCTGGAATTGTCCATAAACTCTTTCAGTCCTGTATATGGAATTGATACAGGCTGCCCACTAGGACCTCTCCTGGGGCTGTGGGCTGGAAACTTTCATGTCATCTCTGTAGAGGTGTTTTAGCTTCTTCATGTGTTGACTAGGTTCCAAGAGTGAGCTGCCCAAGACACAGAAAGTGGAGGCTGAGGGCCTATCCTATCCTGACCACCTTAGTTCAATTTGTTTTTCATGTTTTCTGTTGGGTTTCCACAGGGGGAGTGAATGTATAATGATAATTACTGATACAAGGTGTTATAGGGAATTCGGGGGTTGGGGGGAGGATAGGGAGGGAAAGGGATTTGAGGAGTAAATAATGAAGGCGGGAGGGGGGAGGGAGCACTAGAACTGATCTTGATTGTCCCACTCATTTAAAGGCCCATGGGGCAGGGAAAGAGAAAGCTCTAAGATAGATGTGGTGATTGTACAACTCCCCTTCATATGATTGAACGATGGAACTATTCAATTGAATGCTACGTAAATTATGTGCCAATGAAACTGTGGGGGGGTGGAAGGCCAGGGCCTGGAAACTAGCACAGTGCCCCTGCCCCTCTGCTGTATTGTTAGTCAAGCTGTCTTAGAGCCTAGATCCAAGGGGAGGGGGTGCAGACTTCTTTCTCAATGAAAAGAGAGGAGCCTGATTTTGAAACAGTCTCACCTTGCTAGCTTATCGATGGATTTATCTAAATTAATTTGAACACACGTCTATATTCAACATTTATTCAATAAGGTTCCATAAATTTATTTCTCTACAAAGTATTGTTTTTAAGATACTTCAAGTGTTTAAAGTTTATTCCAAACAAAAGGTGTTTAAACATATTCTTAAGATCAGTAAATGGCCACGGACAAATTCTCTCTGTAACATATTTATCTTAGTCTAATAAGGGTACCTTCAAAAAAAGATGCAAAGTAATTAGTCCAATGGACTAATGAATGGGTCGTGGAGCCATCACCCTCTGCAAGCTGACGGCAGAAGAACCAGATGGTGCTCCGCTACCACTGCCACCTGCTCTGAAAAGGATCCCAGTAGAAGGTTGTGGAGAGCGGTCTTGGAGGAAAATGTAGAACAAAATCACAAAGGAGACCAGGCTTACTGGTGGGTTAGCGTCTAGTGAAACACTCAGAACTGTGGCCTTAGTACCCTTCAGGTCTGGAACTGAACGCATCCCCTGTTAGTAATCACCCATGCACGATCAAGAGGCAACATTTACCCAACGACCAAGTTCAGAGGGTTAAGAAAGGAGGAAGAGAAATCGGGAGCACAAGTCATGAGATAAGTGAAAGTACATTGAGGGGACCGCATGGATGAGGGGAAACAAAACAGATACAAGTTAATGAGTTTTTAAAACTGATGATCTCTATAAACCTTCACCCAATTCACAATAAAAAGTTTTTAAAAATACAATGCTCATTTGAGAATAACAATGGCAACAAATATAAAAATGTGCTTGACACAATGGATGGATTGTGATAAGAGTTGTATGAGCCCCCAATAAAATGATTTTTAAAAATACCTCTAAAATACATATAGACAATGTGACTATTATTAGTGTTAGAAAATTGCATGGTATGAGCCCCTAATAAAATGATTTTTTTTAAAAAATTGCATGCTCATAAGGCTATTTTATGATTTATAAAATTTCACTGAAGAAATATATGTATACTATTTATATGTAAATATAATTATATGTATTATGTATAAATATAAATGCATCTCTAAATAGTGTATGTATAAATAAATACATCTGCATATATTTAAAATTTTTTTTAATACAATGCTCAGAAAGGGGGGTAAAAAAGGTCCAATCAATACAGTGACATATAAAGAAAGGGTTCTGCTACTCAAGTTCAAGGTAAGAGATGTCAGCTCAGAAGGCTGCCTGGATTTTGAGGTTCCAAAGGGGTAATCTTCATAGAATTTTCTTGAAGGACACAAGATGATTATGGCAGCTTACTATGAAGAAGTTTTGAGAACATGTAAATTTGCTTTGGTGAGTTTGGTCGAGGAATTTTTTTTCTTTCACAAGAATGCACTTGCTCCTTGTTGGAAGGTAGATAGCTCCACGGCTGGCCTATGAGAATTTCCTTTCCCCATCTATCCTATATCCCTGATCTTGCCCCTTCAAATTTATTGTGTTCCCAAATTCAAAGACTGTTTCAAATGAACATAATTTGAGGCCCTCAAGGATGTGAAAACTTCATTTCGACATGTACGTTGAAGAACCCAGAATTCTTGAAGGAAGGGGCAGAGAGATGGTGACATCCTCTTTCAAGTGTATAGATCTAGAGGAATGTATCAAGAAATTTACAATTAGGTGGTCATAGGCTATTCAGATGAAAAACTAAAGTACATGTTACCAAACTGTTTCCCAAAGTAGGTTTGCCCCACACACTTGCTTGTACTTGATGTTTTCCATCTTTTTAATTTTAACCACTTGGGTGACTTTTTTTTTTCTTTCAATTTTAACTTTTTGTTTTGATAGTAGTTTTAGACTTACAGCAAAGTCAACAGTCATACTGCCCTGAATACTGCCCATCACCTCTGATCTTGAGAGAATTTTATAAAGAATTCCTGTAAAGAATTCGTGTAGACACATCACCCAGATTTTCTGCATGCTAACCTTGCCCAGGTTGCTTGAGCTTCTTTTACCTTAAATTTCTTCAAAAAGCCTATGTTCATTTTGTTTTGTGCCTGTTCTGTTCATTCTCTCTTCTTTTTAAAATAAGAATTATTTTTAAAATAGCTATACTTTATCTCCCCTAAGAAGCTCCCCTTGTGTCGTAAAGAGTCCAGTACCCTGCAGCATTCCTTTTTCATAAGTCAGGATCCAAACAATTTCACGTTGTGTTTTTCTTTTCAACTTTTTATTGTCAATTAGGTGGGGGGTTAGATTTCAGATCATCAATTTTTAAACTGTTAATCGATCCTCCTACTATTTTCTCCTCTACCCAGAAATGTTATCTTCTGTCATATCCAAGTTATCACCATCTAGTGTGATGCATCTATCTTGCTAATCTCTCTCCAGACTGAAGAGTTCTCATAGTTTCAGTCTGTTAGGCCTGCTTCCCATTGCCTCCTAGCCAAAGTTATCCCATGTATTCATTACCTTTGACGTCTCCATCGGTTTTGTTTCATTTTTCTCAGAGTTGCAAAAAAAAAATCATGGCTAGTAAGAAAAAGAAAAAACAGATAAAATTGGAAAGAATATTATAGTTATCTATATTTTTATAGTATTTTTCAAGAGAAAGCTCAGAAAATGTAATTGTTCATTAATGATTTGTTTTCTTTTTTCAGAAGATAGAAGCCCGAGTGTCTGCTGATGAAGATCTCAAGCTTTCTGACCTTTTAAAATACTACTTAAGAGAATCTCAAGCTGCTAAGGTAATTTTATTCATTGTTTTTTTTTTTAAATGAGTATTTTTACAGAAAACCATCTGTGTAGACATGGATAGACTTAAGGAGGGGGGGGATTTGTTTGTTTTTTAAATCATTTTATTAGGGGCTCATACAGCTCTTATCACAATCCATCCATATATCAATTGTGTAAAGCAACATTTGTACATTCATTGCCCTCATCAATCTCAAAACATTTACTCCTCAATTAAGCCCCTGGCATCAGCTCCTCATTTTTCCCCATCCCTCCCCGCTCCCCCTTCCCTCATGAACCCTTTGATAATTTACAAATTATTATTTTGTCATATCTTACACTGTCGGATATCTCCCTTCACCCACCTTTCTCTTGTCCATCCCCCAGGGAGGAGGTTATATGTAGATCCTTATAATTGGTTCCCCATTTCCACCCCACCCTCCCTCAAGACTTAAGGTTGTTAAGATTATATATCGCCTGATTTGTTTGTGTGTGTGTGTTTAAAATATATATCAGAACATTTGTCAACCAAGCATAACATTTTGAGTTGTTTTTCCATTCCACCCAATATTTTAATATGAAAAGTTTCAAACAAAAAGCAAAACAAAGAAATTTACAGTGAATACCTATGCACTAGATTCCACCATTAATCATTTTATAATTCTGTTCATTGCAGTCAGTCACTCATTTATTCAATATTGTTTCTGTGTAATTTGCTAATTCTCAAAGTAAATTATAGATCATTTCCAAAACCTAGCCTACTGCCCTCGAGTCGGTTTTGAGTTACAGCCACTCCTCGCGGGGTTTCTCCGTCTTTCTGGGAGCAGAAGGCTTCGTCTTCTCCCTGGGACAGTGGTGGTTTGAATTGCTGGCCTGCTGTTAGCAGCGCAGGGCGTAGCCCACAGCACCACTCTGAGGGGTGTTGTTAGATGCCTTCAAGCCGTCCCAGCTCCTGGCATGGTGGAGAGCGACAGTGGAACAACACACTGCTCAGCCCTGCACCGTGCTCACAATTGTTCTGTTCAGCCTGCCCTTGCAGCTGCTGTGTCAGTCTGTCTTGTCA